AGCAGCAGCAGCAGCAGCAGTGAGAGAGAGGGGGAGAGAGCCAGAGAGAGAGTGCACTCGCTGCCAGCATGAGTGGTGAATCTGCCCTGTAGGCCTTGACCTCCCGGAGACATAGTGGGCAGACCTGACAAGTCTGCTTGAAATGGGAAGCGGATCAGAAAGTCGGCTGCTTGCAGCGGCCTAGGTTGCTTTGACAAAGTACTTGTGATCCTCCCGGCTGATCTGCGCAACCCACTCAGTGTCGGAAACAATGAAACAAGCTGGCATCCTGACTCTACAAGCCCTGACCTGAAGCCCTCTCTGCAAACCTCTCACCTGAGGCTTGGAAGCTTGCCTGGTTCCGTCGGAGCCATCGATCGATGCAGCTTTGGTGGAAAACGTGATTGCAAGGTAGGCGACGCACTAGGTCCTTTCCTTGCTGGGCGCAGGGAGTATGAACTGGAGACGTCCAGAACGAGGTTGAACTTCTTGGTTCCAGGGACCTCTTGGTTCCAGAACTTCGTGAGTTCCGACGCTTTGAAAGACCTTGTATGTGATCTTCACGGCTATGCCCGCATCTTTGGTCTGTGCTGTTGCAAGACTGTGCGACGGTATCCTGCCTCATACAGTAGCTCCCCATTCGTGACTGTGTTGCGCTGTACTATCCAGCATGGCCCCATCGACATGCACCCGATCAGGGCCTGGACAAAACAAGCCGATGCACTGCATGTGGAGTACAAGGCCGTGGGTTCCGGATTTTGGCTCGCTCAATACAGGGCGACAGCTCGAACCGTCCCAGCAAAACGAAGCAGGTAAACTACGGTATGATACAGACCAGTATGCGATCGGCAGATGAGACAGTACAAGCTCTTCAACACCCTCCCTCCAAACTTCGGAACAGGCGGCGCTCGAAGTCACAAAGACAAACCGCGCAGCTGCTCTCCCGCTGCCGCTCGCCTGCCTGGCGGCGGTGATGGATTTCAGCCGTCGCTGCCTGGGAAGGGAGATCATAGGAGCAAGCAGAACAGAAAAGCAGCGAAGTGAAATTGATCCCAACACAGTAGGCATGCGCCCCTTGAGCCACCAATCTGAGAGCCGCGCGCTGCCATCCTCCTCCAGGCCGGCCTGGTCCTGCAAAAATTGCCGAGCTGGACGTTTCCAGCCCTCGTCCGGGTGTAGGCTTTAGGGTTTAGGGTGTGGGGTTTAGGGTTTGGGGTTTAGGATTGTGAGCCACCATCAGCGGCATCAACCAAAACATGAATTGTCGTCACCGTCACGCTCATCCTGATCCTGACGACTAGGCAACACGACCGGCGCCACCACCGTCCTCAGCGTCACCGCCATTAGTATCACCGATGTTCTCGGCGTGGTACGTGGGCTAGGACTGCAAGTGCTTGCATGTGCCTTGGGGACGCTACGGTATAGCATAAACCCTAACAACCCCTAAAGCCCAAGTAGGGGCTGCCGAAGAGCCGAAGGAGAGACATTGCCGGAAGTCCTCTGAGCCAAACTCGTGCACGGGCAGGGCATCAATGAGCTCCTGTTCGGCCCTACCTTAAGAACCCAAAACCTACTTTTTTGTGGGGTCCCTATAAATCCCATATTAGGGTTTATAATAAGAACCTACAAAACAGTGGGTTTTGGGTTCTGAAGGTAAACCCTGAACCCTAAACGGTCAAAACCCGGCAAAGCCGGTCGTGCACGCGATGACGGAGGAACATCAACCGTCACAGTCACCAAAATTACTAGTGGTATTGACAGCTGGAGAGAAAAGTGAGAACACGCGTGATGGTAATGAGCAAAGATAACGGAATGAGACATTACGCCAACAAAGGGCATTGGCAGTAGATACAAGAGCCACCACCGCCTCCACGAAGAAGAAGAAGAACCATCATAAGAATGATATCAACATTCGCTCTGAGCGTCTGCACAGCACAAACAATCTTTGCCCTGGCAATGGTGACAACACCCGAAATGGGACTCTCTTGAAGAGACTCTGCTGCTGTCGAGACCGGCTCAGAAGTGATCAAGAGTATGGGTTTTGGGTCAACTGTCGCATGATTATATGGGGACGACGACTACTACTACTACTACTACTACTACTACTACTACTTCTACTACTCCTACTACTACTACTACTACTACTACTACTACTACTACTACTACCACCAAGATTATTGTTGGTATTATGACTTTCCTAAATTTGGTGGTGTTGCCAAAGGAGATGCACTGCATAACTGCACAAACGGAATATACACAAAGAAATACATCAGCGTGAATGTATACATATATTCATATATATATATATATATACATTCCGCCTATATCGGCTTGCTTCATCTCTGATGACAGACTGCGGCAAGAAACCAAATAAGTCAACCGAACTGTGCGCACCAAGCGCTTGCCGAAGCCCTGAAGACGCTCGCAGTCTGCCCTATCCAGCCTGCGGGGCTCCCCGGGGTTTGTGCTGTGTGGATGCCTGGCACCATAAAGCTTTGGAGTTGCTGAAGAGCTGTAGAACTCTTGACGATTCTTGATGGCTCGCCGGCACCTCCCCTCTCACCGGAAAGCATCGATTGAAGACTACCTCAGCAGGCTTGCATTCCATCATGGGCCGACGCAAGTTGCCGTCCGCTCCGCACACCCCTCATCCGAAAGAAGACCCTCGCCCCAAACTGCGCTCGGCCTCTGTTCGAGAAACCGTCCCACTACTGAGGTCACTGAGGTCAGCTCTAGGTCTCTAGGTCTTAGGTATTCCCGAGCTCAGATGTTGGATCTAGGACTCATCTGCACCACAAGGCGCCAGGGTTATGAGCAGCTTCAAGAAGGAGAAGACGACCACCATAAGGGACAACCTGCCAGCACCTACTTGACTGCTTCCTGTTCAGACGCCCCGCAGCAATCAGAAATGGCAAGTTGGTCCCTACCTATATGGCCACGTCACCTGAGCTAGCCGTCGTGGTTGCATGAACATAGCGTAATGGGCCAATCTGGTAAACTGGGAATAGAAAATCGCGGCTGGGTCCATCACTACCTTCACAAACCATTCATCAAGCACATGGCAGAGATCATGCCTTTACAGTAACCCCCATAATACCTATTATAGCACCCCGTACCCCCTATAGCAACAGGAACCCTAGACTTCCCTTTGCATGAATTCCCATGAGCCTCTGCCTCTCTTAAGGCTCTGGGCCCTCCTACGTGAGTCTCCGGTTTAGGGTTTAGGGTTTAGGGTTTAGGGTTTAGGGTTCTTTGAGTCCCCATGCTGCACCTGTTTTGACACATGCATCTGGGAGTTCAGATCCTGTGGAAGAGCCCAAGAGCCCAATATCCCTTCATTCGGGAAGACACCTGAAACACCGTAGATCACGGCGGGGATCCCTCTATAATTTCAGCCATGTGGTCTTTTGATGGAAGGCCCGAGAAAGAGCAGACAGGCTGGTTCCACCAAGTGTCGAAGCTACAAAGAAGCTGTCAGAAGAGTGCGATCGTAGAAGAGATCTCCAGTACCTTGCACCTGCTTACGGAAAACCTTGACACTTGTAGAACCGTATATACAGCCTCCCAAGTGAACCCTTTCCGTCACCGTCCTGTATAGCCAAGGGCAGGGTTCGCAGTAGCTGGAGTTCAGCAGCCACACCACCTTATTAGCTGGTGGATTTAGAGTTCAAGGACTTCAGATTT